GTTTCACGGGTCAGGATGAGTCAACTTTGTGAGAAAGGACCTTCTCTGGATAACTTTACAGAGACACTAATTACTTGTGTAAACAGAAGGAGGTAAATAAACTCTCTCGGGAGGCAAAGCTACACTCAAGTTGACTGAGCTGTCGCCTGAGGGGGTCTACGAGGCACTAAGCTTCTGAAAGCCAAAGCAAAACAATTAGCAGTGGGAGATTTCTGTGGGACTGGATCAGCCTCTGAAGCTGAGTCCATCTTTTTTAAATCAAGTGCAAACCCGTCCTGGATTGTCTCCTGAGGAAGGATGGTCATTCAGGGCGTAGTTCTTGTTCTCGGAAAGCTCATCCCACCATAGGGTGTGACTGAACACAATCACCTGAGTAATTGAAGGTCGAGTACCACCAACCGCCCACCAGCTGCAGCGTGGAAGTCGGTTGTAACCTGGATGCTACTTCCCCATGTTTTTTGTATGATTAATGAGCACTAGACTTTCAGAAATTGAAATTGAGCAAATACACTAGTATATATACTTGTATTGTCGGTGTACATACAACTAAAAGGCGCAGGTTTATAATATCCACAACATTATGGATACAGAGAACTTCAGCATTTTCCTCTGAAGTTTGCTCTCTGTATCAAAATCGTATCAAAATCGCCCACATCCACGGTAAAACACTATTTGGCTGCCCCCTTTTAGTGGATAAGTCCTACTTATTGGTTGTTTGGTCTTAGAGAACTAGCATCATTTATTAATGCTTTATTTGTTCTTAGTTTCGTATTTCCAAGAAAACTTTTGAGCACATCTCAAACTTGAAATGTATGATTTTACATTCTTGTCTGTGGAGGAATGTCGTTTTACAGAGTCAACTAAGAATCTCATTAGTCAAGAACAGACCTAAAATATTTAGCCATGACAATCAAAAATCTTTTAGATAACACTTTGCCACACCCAGCACTCCTCTTTCAAACTTTCTGTCACGTTTCCAAGTCACATGACAAAGAAAAACATTTTCTCACGCTATAGATTCCTTTAAATCATGCTGTCAGACACTTTTAATAACAATCTGAGCCTGTCAGAAACAAGTACTTTGAGTGCATGTGCATTGACGATGCCAAGTTGCTTAGCAATGCAGCTTGTTTTGGAATTGCCATCTGCAGAATTCTAAATCAATACTGGACCAGTGTAACAATTGTTGTCCACATTAGCCAGTTAGACACAAAAAGATGGGTCCAGTTAATCCAAATTCAGTCTCTGTAGGTTCATTTGAATTTATATCTGGATGACTTTCCCGATTAAAACCTGGAAGCATCTCAAATCTGGAACCTTGCTTGGGGCTCATGCAAAAGGGAGTAGTGTTTTCTCCATTTAAATAGCCTGCTTGCTGTACGGTCCCCACATGTGCTTGGCTGTGAGAAAGCAGACACCTCAGCTGTCAGTGTAAAAGTAAAATGTCAGGCGCTGTCGTGAGCAGATAGACATCAGCGAGGAAGCAGATGAGTGACAACACTTAAAAAAGACATATTTTCACAAGAGGGGGATTATCTTCTTCACATTGACACGTGTGTTTTTTAAATGGCTGTCACAGAAGATTTGAGCTACAATAACAGAGACAGGAGCACTTGGAAACACACGACCGAATGACACCAAAATAATCACACTCCCATGATGCATTCGTTTTTTACACAGCTATGTTGGCCGTAAATATCCTCAACCTACAGTAGCAGGAGCTAGGAATTTATTACACACAACACTGCACTAGAGGCATGCACATAACGATTTCTCAGGTCAGCCATGTTTGTCTCCACGCAACATGCACGGCAGCCAGCCAATGGGGTTTCACACTCACTCCATCATGCACGAGCTAGAGTACAACCTTAATGGGAGGCATGCAGAGGCAGGGCACTAAATTAGAACCCTTTGCAGCTAATTGCTGGTATAATGTGCAGCAGGCTGGTAGATTTGCATTTACACACCACCAGCCAAAACAAAATGGAGCTCAGGTTTTTTTCTAATCCGCTCAAATCTGGAGAAGGACATTTTCTGCTGTCGTATGCAGTATGCATTTGACATGCATACGTCGGCGATTGTATGCAGTATTTATTCAAAATTATGTCTGCTAATAACAATAATAAGGATTGGAAGGCTGTGGCTCAGTGGGTAGTGTGCTGGACTTCAGGGGATAGCAAGTTCGAGTCCCACTGCAGCCAGCATGTCGTTGTGTCCCTGGGCAAGACACTTCACCCCAAGTTGCTCCTGTGGGGATTGTCCACAGTGCTGAATGTATGTTAGTCGCTTTGGATAAAAGCGTCTAACAAATGACATGTAATGTAATTGCCAAGCAGCAACAGGGGAAAAACTAATCTACAGAGCTGCAGTCAGGATGCTGGATACAGTATGATAGAAACCATCATGTGATGAAGTTACAGTCAGCATTTCACACATACATTGATTGCTCAAACTGTTCCTGGTGTATAAGGAAGGTTGGTGTTTGGTAGCTTTAGAAACAGATTTAACGTTCTCCCTAGGGGAATCATTTACTTGATTTAGCTGAGAATAAAGGTAAGTAAGTCTAAGTGCGTGTGGGCTTGGCACAATAGTGGATCATTGGAATGGATTTGCTTATTCTAACACAGGATTCAGGAGAGAGTAAGATAGCAAGTGCATGAGAAAATGTGTTTTTATGGGCATTTATCAAGAGGTGAACACAAGGTGAACGAGATGTTTCTGATTGACAGGCCAGTTTAAAATGATACAGTTACACTTTTTAACAACAGATTTGAATTATGAGGCTTTAAAAATTGACTGTCGATCTGACTCTAAATTATCATTAGTTTTTTCTTTGTTAATCAAACTCCCCCTCTATGTTCTCTATTTCAGCAGCCAAGTGTATTTTGAAATCATCGCTGATGCCAAAGTGGAATAGACAAATGCGTCGCAAGCCAAGTAAATAAAAGCAGCATGTGGTTGAGGGCTGGTGATAAATGCATTCCCTAATTAGCGAGGCTTAAAAAGCTTACACTGGGAGGATATGAAAGGCATTTATTTCAAGAGTTTCTTATAAAGGAAAGTGGAGACCCCTCGACATGCGTGTGACTATTTATAACTTGCATTACTGGATAATTTCTTATCATGTATTCACTTATTATTTTATATATTTAATAATGATTTCGGCTTTTAGACCTGCTAGTATAAGTTGTGTTGTGTGTATTATCATGCATTGGCAGGATTTGAGTCGGTGTGTTTTTGGTGTTTATTTTTGATTGTTTTATAGTGACTTTTGCCTAATTCTAGATGAAAAACATAAATTCATGTAGGTCTAGAAAATATGTATTGTGCATTGTAAAAGGTCACGCTGTTATTGTGTGTGTTGTATACATGCTAACAATGTGAACTCTCAAAGGGGGAAGTATAAATCCCTCTGCTTGTATGTTTCTGTCTATACGGGCCGGTCCTCTCTGAGAGGATGTTTGGGCCCGCTTGCTGCACTGTTGTCCATGACTTTGTTTGTGTTGGACAGATTGAGGGAGCCGGGGGCCGAGGACATGCTAATGAGGTCACTGCAGTGCTGCGGTAGAGCAGGCAGACTGCATACACTCCCCAAAAAGCACCTTTAAGGAAATGGCCCACTACACTAGAATGTGTGGTTTAGTGAGGAATGACTCCTGGCTTTTGGCACACGCTGTCCCTGTGATGTCAGCAAGTATAGCGTGTGGAACTTCATAGATCATTCATTTGAAAGGACTTTATACCTGACACTCATCGTCCAGTAAAGATGTTCTGAGTATATGGGACATTTTATGTTTCACACCTGAGAACACTACAATAAAATAAATAGGGTTCTATCTTATCTTCAAATGAGGTAGATGTATTTCTATTTTTGCCACTCAGAATACAATTCCAATGTGTTCTTGTTTGCTATCCTGATCAGAGGTATTTTCTACATTATTGAAACAATGATAATGTTAGCAATTATAAGATACTTAATTGCAATGTCAACATTTTTTATAAGATTCATAAAATCCAACTTCCCATGTCTTTGCAGTTTTGCAGCATTTGAAATGTAGATTTAGGACATTTCCATTCCAATTAAGGCCTTATTTTTAGATCACTAAATTGAATACATTTTGAGGCTTTCTGAGGATTCAAACGCACTCTAAATAAATCCTATTTAATTCACTGCCTAAGACAGCTTAATTTAGCTTCTAAATGGAATAATTATCTTTAAATATTTGCATGTGTTCGTGTTGAAATTGTGTTATTAAGTGGTTCACTAAATGATATGAATGCTAGGATGGCTTTGGAAAGCTGGCCCCACACATATCACCTCTGCAGATGATCCAACATCTACACAAAGAAGTACCCACGCAGTGTAATTGTATTATCAAATATACATGCCAACAGTTTTCTGAAAAGGCAGTGTGTTTGTGTGATTAGTTTTAAGTTCTGGCTGAAGTAGCAGGGTCAGTCACGCCCTTGTCAGCCGACAGTGGGGCTGTCACCTCGCGGAGCATCAGGGGCCCGTTGGAGCGGAAGCTGGAACAGCGTGTTCCAAAACAACAGCGACAGTTAGAGCAGACACTTAGCTTCTGTTCTGCACGGGACGCTGTAGTGGACACTGACTGGACAACCCGATTAACTGTCATCACCCGCCCCAAAATCCCATCCCACGCATTGCTGATGCTGCCCCTCATTAAGTCTAAGAACGTGTAATGCTGTCCTGTTATTAAAGGAACTCAAACAATGTGATAACAGGTGTTTTAATGTTTCTACTGATATTTCTTTCACACCCTTTCTGCTATAAACATTAATATCAAACGGCTGTGAGGGTTTTGTGATGAAGTCAAACAGGACTAGGACATCTAGTTGACACTGCTTCCCCCTGCTGTTCAAATCTAGTAACAACCACACTTTTTCCTACAACCAGACCTATTCAATGGGATAGCAAAACAATGCTATAAAGTGTGATTTGATGAAGCATGTTTATCCAGTTTAAACAAGACACTGACCGCTGAGTCCTGAGATGACCCCCGCTGCCCTTTAAGCTCCGCTAGCTTTCTCTCCATGTGGTAAACCTCCTCAGACATTTGCCTATGGAAAGCACAAACAGTTTGGCAGTGTTAAACATGTGGAACCTTGTTGTAATCAGAGCAATTTACCTCTAAATAGCCTTCTGGTAAATAACAAAAAGAGAGAAAACTCCCTTTAAAAAGAGATAGGGTTATGAACGTCTGGGTGGTACAGTAAATCATTTTCTTAAGACTAGGGAAACATTATTCCTTAAAACATGGCTACAACTGATACAGTTGTTGACAGTTTTGCTGTTTAAGTGGCCGTGTCAGACCCTATGGTCAGACCTGACCTTTACCTCACCTACCTCTATTAAGCTTACCATTGATAAAAAGATGCTAAATTGGCTGTAAATAGAAAGGATGTATGTTTCCATCATGTATTTTCAGTGTGAAACCAGGCATGTGAAACTAGATAGAACATTCTGAACTTTTGACCTATGCTAGATGGGGAAATAAAAACGTAAAAGTTCCAGCCACAATTCTGAGAAGGCACTTGTGGTTTTTGACACCTTGAGAGCGGTTACAACGGGTACGAAGACAATGAAGCACAGGATGCAGGCGGCCTACGCAAAGGGTCGAATCAACTTCCTGGGCCAGCGAATCATAGAGACAGGCTGTCCTTATTGTCTTAATAAATGAAGTCTCTGTTAATAAATTAAAGTATAAAGTTTGCATATTTGAAATTAAATGTTTAAAGAAAAAACTTGATTCTAAACATGACATTGACAAAGTGTTCTGCTTTCATGAAACATGTTCATGTTCCCTCTTGTTAAAATTGCATATTATTACTATAAGTCTTTATTTGTTTTAATTTTAACTTTACATTTTTAATTAAAAGTTGAACATATGTGACCTCCTTCTCCCTCAAAGGTAGACAAGGGGAAACTACCTGATGCAGAGAGGGAGCAGGCAAGAGACTATAAAAGATGATGTGTGAAGAGAAAGGGGGGCTGTTTAGGCTTTTGGGGCTTTTTTTAGGCTTTTTGAGGTTTGAAGGCTAGAGAGCTTGGAGGAAGTTTTCTGAGGCCCAAGCCCTGGGCCCTGGGCCTGGGCTTGGGCTCTTTTAGACGGCTTTAGGACATTTGACTTGTGAACCTGTTGCTTTTGTATTTTGACCTTGTGTCTTTGTTATTTTTTAGGATTCTTGTAATCCTCTATTTTTGTTAAAACCTTAATAAAACCGGTTTGTACTTTGTACATTTCTAACCAACTCCTGGTCTCTCTCGTGGTCTCTGAAGGTATCTGCTTGGTCTTAGAGTGAGGTAAGAACACCCTTCCTTGGAAAAGGCTGACATTAGTTGATCATTTGGATTTGAAATTGTTTAAGGGGATAGAAACTCTGCTAAAGTTAAACTGTAGTTTCATATTGGCTACTGTGGTTGATGTGGGTTTTGATTGACGTTGAAATATGACATATGCTCTGCTGATGTGGTAATGTCACTGCTGTGATATTAATGTTTGACTCTGGCTGTGTTTGATTTTACATTTGCATTGTTTTAATTGGCATAAGGGGATCAAAATGGGGGGTTAGGGATTATGGGTCCTGAAGCTGCCCTAATTACCAAGGGGTCTCCCAACGACACAGGGTTTCCCCTCCAGGGGCAGTATGATACTGCTCTGGGGTTCCACCAGCCCACCAACACCTACTACACTATACACTCCGTTTTGCTATCCTAGCGGTCGGACATCCGAGGCTGGAGTGCCTAAATAGGGATACGACGGGCAGTTTGGTGTTAGAGGCCACGCTGTAAACGCCCCCCTAAACAGATTACGTTGATCTTGCGTGTAGATTCTGGGGTTTTGTCCTGAAAAGATTGGACGGCCGTTCACCGGAGCCTTATCAGCACCGGAGTTCGGTATCGGAGACGGCCTAGATATTAACGTTGGTTGTATCGAAGTTAGATTCCTTTTCACAGTTATGGCTGTTTACAATATTTATTGATTTATGAAGTGATGCAAAGAGATATAAAAAAAACATCCATAATGGTGTGATGCTGTTTAATGTAAAAATTGAAATAAAAACATCCTTGTTTTCTGTCTTTTAAAGCTCATAAGCATGTAGTGTTTCCACTTTTACTTGACTACTTGTTTCTTGTCCATAGATTTCAAATCATAATCTAAACAAAGCACTTTATTTTAAATACAGTATAATCACTGGAGTTGTATTGGATCTATGTTTACCTGTGCACAGCCTGGGCCCTGCTCAGTTGGCAGTGGAGACGCTTCACAATGGCTTCATAGCGCTTGTTCTGGATCTGAGAAAAACATTAACGGAAACAAAAATGATCATTTTGGCCTTGAGACCTGATACATTTTTTGGTGCTTTTGTATTTTAAAATAAGTTGTGTAACAGTCAGCCATCCGGTGTTGCAGTTAGGTCATCTGCAAATATTGGCTAAAGGAAATGTCTTCATTATTATGACAAAGTTAGTTTAACCTACATGTTGTTTTTTTATAAAGTAAAGCATTTAATGTATATTAGTACTGGAAATAGAGATACTCTTTATGATAGCAGACATTGAACCGTTTTGGACTTTAGCTGGCCAAACTAATGTCATCAATACATGTCAGTTATCTGTAGATTCATAGCTGATGAAAATAAATAATTGTTAGTAGTGGCCCTTGTCGATAAAGTCACCATTTCTCTCTCCCATACCTCTATGTCTTTCTTTATCTGGGTATGAGTTAAAAACTCTTTTCGCACTTGCTCTTTCTTCGCAGCTATAGACTCCCTCATCACAGAGATCTCCCTCTTCAGAGTTTCATTCTCACTCTGCAGAAAAGAGATGGATACAATCAACATGGTAGGTTCAAAGTTTCAAAGAGTTAATTATCCTCTAATGTATGTTCTCCACCTTTGCCATCTGCACTGTGTTCCCGTTCGGATTATCCAAATCTGCCTTCAGCGCCTCTTTCTTCTCTCGCAGCATCTGGACAAGCGCTCTCTTCTCCTCCAGCTCTCTGTGGGCCTCCGTCTGGCTCGCCGCATGCAGAACAGCTGCTCTGTGACCCTCCATCTTGCTTCGGTAAGTGTTGAATCTCGCCAGTGCCACGCAAGCGTTCTCCTCCTCCTCACTTGTACCAATGTGGATATCTGTTATTTCCTTGCTGATGGATGCATAGCGCTGATGCAGGACTTTTGTCTGCCACTCCAGGTGCTCCATCTCACCCTCCAGCATTAGGAATTCCCTGGTTTTAGATCTTAGATCCTTCTCTAACATCTCGCCCTTCTTCTCAACCCCTGAAAGAGTTGCCTGATAAGGGAGGCAAACCAAAATGTCCAAATCACTGTTTAATCCCCAATAATTCATTTTTTGTGAAGCAAAGGTGTTTTGAAAGAGACATAAAATCACACTCACAGTTTACTCTCGTTGAGAGATTAGAAACCATGTCTATTCCTTTTTGCATGGAAGCATATTCCTTAATAATTAACTATATGTATGTGCAAAAACTACCATTTAAATAGACATTTTGTTACACATGTACGTTTGGTTCTATCACATTAAACCCCTACTAATTGTTATGTAATAATTGTGTAAAACTACTGCCTTTTCTACTATTTAGCATTACCATAACTGCAGTGGCACAACTGCAGTGGCATTAATCAACACAATCCCCTTTCTTTCATCCAAACTAATTCCTATCTAATGGAAATGTGAAAACTTTGCTAGAAAGTGCATAACAGATTGGGTGTGGAAGACTATATTAAAGCCTGTATTAAATTAAACTGGGGTAGATATGAACCTGCAGGGAGATGAGTGTCTTCTGCTTGTCTTTCAGGGTCTCAGTCTGGGCATAGCCGTGTTTACTGACATCCTGCACCGCCTTGGTTAATGAAAACCTAGGCTTCTCCTGTACTCCTGGGGGACAGTAAACAAAAGTGTATTGAAGAGACTGTAAATGTTCACATAACAAAATGTTAGGGATTTAGACATGTAGCTTAACAAACCTTTAATTAAGTTATAGCTACAGCTTAACTAGCAGCACATAAAGTTAATAGCAAGTTCAAAGCTTCAAAGCAGGTCTCAAGGGAGCTAAAATTGTCTAGCCAAGACAGTTATGCTAGTTTATTAGCCTAATATTAGCGTTAATGTTTTTGATCAAAGTTAAAAAGCCCCCCTTAGACTCAGTTAAACAAACTTCCACCACATTATTAATCTTTTGTCAGTGAACATGTTCAACTATATTTGTTGTGTTAATACATTACCATCTTCACTGGCTCCAAATGTTGACATTTTGACATCAGTTAGCTAACGTTATGTTAGCGAGAAGCTCGTTGATATAATAATTATAATGACGTAGCTAATTGATGTAGCTGACAATAAAAATGGTATTGAGTGTTTAAGCCAATGAGTCTAAGAAATACAGTTAATAATCAAATATTAAATTACGAGCATTTTTTACTTAAGGAAATTATTAGAGAGCTATTATTTATTATTTTATATAATTCAACTAACTGCGTAAACAATAAAACTACAGTTCCCAGAGGTCACCTCTGCTCGACCTGGTTACGTTTCCAAAGCTACATCCGGTCTCTACAGCTAGCAACAGTGGAAGTGACAGTTGTTGCTAACACTAGATCAACACATGGGAATATTGTTCTACTTTATGAATGGCCCTTTTTAAAAGTAGTCAAATGCTTGTAAATCGCTTGCCTCGACTATGCGCTTTGTGTAGCCGTGTATTCTACAGCAGCAGAGGAAGAAGAGCAGGATGGAGGACACTTACAGGACACACCAGTCTGGAATATGCTAACATCACAAAGGTGCAACAACACTGGGGCACAGTAGCACCAAAACGCCTCTCTCACAGTGGTTTTGGGGACTTGTACAAGACTGAGTCTGTTCAGAGGTTTCTCCAGCAGCTCGTGGAGGAGTACAAAGACTCCAGTAAGAAGATACAGCATGCACAACTCAGTGAATCAGAGAGGAAAATACTCATTAAGAGGCAGAAGGAGCTGCTGCCTCTGGCAAATGTGTTTGAGAGTATTCAACAAGCCTTGAAAGACCAGGAGGAAATCCTTTCACTCCTGCATAGTGAGTATTTTATTATATTTATGTCAGAAACAATTATCAACATGTAAACTCACAATTTAGTGCCACATTGATCCTTTATATATTTGTCTTAGGTTGTGTAGGAGTCCATTTAAAGTCTGACAAAGTCTTGCAACTAAGAATATAAGGTTCTTTCAGAATGTCTTTCAAGTAAATAATAGGTATTGCTGTCTATAAATAAGAACTAAGGCTCAATATTCTATTACAAAATATCTCCTAATGTATTTTATTATTTTTGTCAGAATATTCATTGTGTATTTCAGGCAGTTAATGCAGTTGGGATGAAAATATCTGACATTTCTGCATTGCTTTGTTCAGGTTCAGCAGGTACCAAAGATGAAGATGAACAGTTGACCCAGCTGTTGAAAGACGAGGAAGTGCAAATCTCACACAAGATTTTGGCCTTAAGAAAAGATGTGAGAACACAAGGGCACGATCAGACATGTGTAAAAATGTGTTATAGAACAGCTAATAACATGATATTCTTTCTCTCCAGTTAATCAGGGCTCTTGTTCCTGTCGACCCTCTGGATTCCAGTAATGTTGTGATGGAGGTTGTATCAGGACGGACAACAGGAGGTACGAAAGAATCTTCACTATGTATCAAATAAATATGTAAAATAACATCCAGTTTGTTATGTTAATATCCGTTGATGTGATTTCAGGGGACATCTGTCAGCAGTTCACAAGGGAAATGTTTGACATGTACCAGGGCTTTGCCTCTTACAAGAATTGGGAATTTGACGTTTTGAACTACACAACTGCTGAGATAGGTCAGTCACATTTTTGTTTGTATAACTCTTTCATCATCTAGTCAAATGAAGCTTGAAATGTCTATCCTTAATGTTGTATATTCTGCTTCATATGGCCAAAATCTTATATAGATATCATTTTTCATTTAATAATTTAGACTGTGTCTCTCAGGTGGCCTCCACCATGCAGCCATGAGAATAGCAGGGGAGAATGTGTACAGACATGTGAAGCATGAAGGGGGGACACACCGGGTGCAGAGGATCCCCGAGGTGGGCCTCTCCTCCAGGATGCAGCGTATTCACACGGGAACCATGACTGTCATCATCCTGCCTCAGCCAGTGGAGGTACTCTACTCTCTGCTTTCTCCTCAGGCGGTGTTTATTAGCATGAAGAAACAGTATGTAAATAGTAACCAAACAATGTAATACCGCCTTAAAATGCAACAAAATGTGCATTTAACCTGACTGAAGTAATAACTCTTGACAGATGATGTAATGATGTAAAAAGAATATGCTTTTTTAATTGCTAATTTTTAAAGTTGAAAATGAAATAATTAATATCACAAAAAAGGGAAATGTTATGGAATTTTCAGGAAGTTATTACATGAAATTGTTCTACATGCCTCTCTATTTTTGTCTCCCGTGTTCACAGTTTGACGTGCACATCGAACAGAGGGACCTTCGCATCGACACGTTCAGATCTCGGGGCGCTGGGGGCCAGAGCGTCAACACAACAGACAGCGCAGTGCGCATCGTTCATCTTCCCACCGGTAAAACATGCAAGAGTATTTCAGCTCTCCTGTCGTATCAACATCACGCCTTATCGTTTATTCTCTTGCTTATCAACAGGTGTAACAGCTGAGTGCCAGGAGACCCGCTCTCAGCTGAAGAACAGAGACCTTGCCATGCGCATGCTGCGGGCCCGGCTCTACCAGGGCATGAGGGGTAAAGACACCGAGCAGAGGCACTCGGCACGAAAGCAGCAGGTAAGTGAACTCCCAATTTGACAAGGAACACAGATATAATATTCAGAAATCTTTTTAACTTCTTATCTGTTTACCCCCATTCACTACAGGTGGGCACACGTTCTCAGTCAGAGAGGATTCGAACCTACAACTTCAGCCAGGATCGCGTCACAGACCACAGGACTGGATATGGTACGAGAGACATTAAGGTAAGGGAGTGTCCACAATCATAAGAAACCAGCACACTTTCTTTTTGAATATTTATTGTATCATGCTTTATTTCCTGTACTGTTTCTCATGAGTTGAATGTGTTTTGCTCCATGTTGAAGGAGTTCATGAGAGGAGGCGAGGAGCTGGAGGATCTGATCTCTGACGTGCATGAGCATGCAGAGAGGGAGGCTGTGCTGGAGGTGGTGGAGAGCCGCGGCGTGAAAGCACCAGAGTCCTGACAGACTGCACACTGAAGTCAAATATACTCAACAAGTACTGTGACTGCACATCAGAGCTGACATAATATCAATATGAATGTATGCAATAGTCACATTTCAAATGATGCCATGGAAGACAAACTGATATAAGATATATTTTTATAAATTATCAATACTTGAAATGTAAATGCATTTGCTTATCAACGTAGTAAGTTATTACTAGCTAAGAGCTGCACATATATACTGGAAATGTTTTTATAATACAAATATAGTGTATGAAGTGGTGGAGGGAGCATTCAGATCCTTTACTTAAGTGAAAGTGCTAAATGCCGCAGTGTGAAAATACTCTGTTACAATTCAAAAATGCCTCGTGAAAATGTTATGAGTTATAATCAGGAAATTGTACTTAAAAGTAATAAAGTTAAAGTAATATGGCACTGTGACTGTTCTAATGTTACTGTATATATTCAAGCATTAGATGGATTTAGATAAAGCAAAATCATTTAAATAGAACAGCACCAAAGCGTCACCTATGATATTTCCTTATTAATTTACACAATCAAAATATTTGTCGATTGACCAGATCCACCAATCATATCAGCTGTACATTTTCATGTGTTTTTCAATAGTAACTATACCTGTCAGATAAATGTAATGGAGTAAAAAAAGAACAATATATTTGATATAGTATAAAGTAGTAGGAAAATAATATATAAGTACATCTCATTTGTAATACTTTCCACCACAAATAACTTTATTTTTAGCATTTGTGCTCCAAGGTGGAATGCATGACACACCAGGTGGAAACGTAACTGTACGGGAAACCTGATCCAGTATATTACATATTAGCAGTGGTGTTTATCCGTGTGTATTTATGGTCCTCTGCCAGTCAGGGTGGGGTAACACCATCTATCAGCTGAATACACACTCTCCCGCTCTGCATGTGTGTGTGCCAGCTGACCAGCAGCCTACAGGATGTTCTCTCTACTCGTGTTACATATTTTAATGTCTACATCCATTCAGTTAAAATCATTTCAAAACACGTAGTCACCGGTCTTTAATCACTTTTATTCTTTCAGTATGACAGTCAATTATGGTTCCACGGAATTGCTTTCTAGCTTTCACAATGATGAAAAAATACAAATATGGAAAATACAAAAAAATATTTGATTTGCTCTGTGTAGAAAAACATGGGAGGATTTAAAATAGGACTGCAACTACCAATTATTTTCAATTGTTGTAGATTGATTTAACTATGTGGATTTAAAATAAGTACATGGTGATGACTGTAAATGTCTTAATTAGTCCAAAGATATTCACTTTAATATGAAATAAAACAGAGAAAGGCAGATGGATATAAACAGCATTTTACTTTTCAGGTTACTCCAAGGTGTCCTACAATTGGTCATCATCCTCGACAAAACAAAACACTTTCTAAATACATTTAAAAAACAACAAAATGTCTAAAGTTCCTGTCTGTTGCAGCTGACAGAGAGTCTGCTGTTGTGAGGTTTAAGAGAGGCATGAAGAAGAGTTGTGTTTGTGTGAAAGTCTCCTGCGTGACGGTTTTCTTTGGTCAGTCGTCGTCGTCGTCCTCTCTCTGTCGGATGCTTCTGGATTTGCCGTTCTGTGTCTTGTTCTTCCTGAATGAAGTAGACCCTCCTTCCTCTCCGAGGGAAGTGATGACGCGCTCCTTGAACTTGGTTTTTGGCTCCGGCGGCGGGCCAGCGGCTGGAGCGCTGGCAGTGTATCCCTGCACCTTGGGAAGCTGTAAGTCCACCTTGGAACTGGAGAGGATAAGAAAAAGGAACCATTATCTACTAGCACATGTTTGCCAACTGCATTTAATTCAGCTCTCTTAAATCAGCCATCACTTACTATGGATCCACCTCTTCCTTGATCTGTTCCCAGGCTCCATAAGGATTGGCAGATTTTTGTCTTATTCTGATTTGTATCTTCACTGGTGCCTCCTCTTTTTTCTCTTCAGGTGCAGCTGCTGTGCTTTGGACATCCTCCTCTTTTTTCACTTCCTCTTTTACCATCTCTTCAGCCTCACCTTTAGGAGCATCCTCACTCTCTTTATCTAGTTCCTCCTTTTCTAAGGGCTCGGCCTCTGCTTTCCTTTTCTGATAAAGGGAGAAAAAGCATTAGGACTTTCTCAAAAGTGATATTCTTTATTGATTCTCATTCACTGTCCTCTCACCCTAAAGTTGATCTTTGGGTATTTGGGCTGCTGGAGGGCTTGTTCAGGGACTCCAGGCTCCTGAGATGCTGGGGCCCCGCTGGAGCTCTCCTCTACCCCCGGGGGCTCCGGCTGAGGGGCCTCCTCCTGACTCCCTGAAGTGAATCCCGCTGGCTTCACCCAGCTGCTCTCTGTGAGGTGAGGGAGACGGAGCATGTAGATCACCCAATAGAAATAAGAAATGGAAATTAATAAAATGATATTAGATCCAATGCTTACCCCTAGTTTCTGAGTTGTAGTAATATTTGTGACCCTCAGGACTGACAGCTTCCGTCCAAAGACCCCCTGAAGACCTCTGAAGAAAAACACAATATCAAAATAAATGCTTGTCATCAGCAAGCCAAATCAATACACTAAAAATGCTACTAAAAAGATTTACTTCAGGCTGTGCCGGGGCTGAGTTTGCTCCCTGGAAAGACTCTGGATTATCCCATCTAGATTCTGTAGTTAAAAAAAAAAACATAAAATCAAGTTAGAAAAAGTAGATTGAACAATAAAATAGTGTGTTGGTGTACAGGCTGATGTTGGTGTACCTCCTGTTATTGTGTTATAATAGTAAGCGTTTCCATCCTCAGTCTGTCCTTTAACCCAGACCTGCGCTCTCATTTGACCTCTGGGCATCTGGTTTGCTTTCTGTTTCTTCTGCTGTTTTTTGGACTGGGGTCCACCCTGGGGTCCGGACTGGTATCCACCCTGGGGTCCACCCTGGGGTCCCACTTTAGGTCTTGCCTGGGGCCCCACCATAGATCTGGCTTGATTAATGACCTGAGGTGTTTCCTCTTGTGTTGTTGTCTCGACTGGTAAGCCTGATCCTATAACAAGAACACATGAATGTAAAATGAAATGTAATTAATAGCCACATTATATCAATAACATACCAAGAAATTACCTCCCGACTCCTTTTCCATCCTCTTCAGATCTTCCTGATACGCCTTCATCGCAGCCTCCTCCATTTTCTGAAAGTCTTTAGACATGCGTTCCTCCTGCTTCGCATTGTCCATGCTCTTCTTTTTAATCTGCAGCAGGACATATAAAATGAGTTGAGTGGCAGCATCAAAGTTGCCAATAAGAAGTGAGTATAAGAGACAGAGTGTGATGTCTGGACTTTATCTCTCCTTCCAGTCCTGAAGATGGTGCCAAGACGTTTTTTCATGGCTGTGTAGTATGTTAAAAGCCCAGTTGGTCAGCTGATTCTACCATGTACTAAATTACAACTCATCAGCATATTATTACTCCTAAAAAGGTTGAGTGTTCAAATTGTTTCTTCAGAAAAGGGAAACATATGTATAAAAGTAAATACCTCGGTGATTTTTGCAGCCACATTTTCTTTGTGATTCTTCCCTCTTTCGTGGAACTCGACGCTCTGCAGAGGAAAACAAAAAAGAGAGACAAATGAGCAGAGAATATCGGACACTGCCCTCTGCAACATGATCTGCATCTTTTGGGATACTCACAGGCTTATTGTCCGCAATCCAGCACTTGCAGTACTGGCAGAATTTCCTTGGTTGTGATTTCCAGTATTCCGTCCTGAAAATGAACCAAACTATCATTAGGGAACTAAACATTTGTGAAATACAGGTACATTTCCTTTAGCTTTGTACAGCTAACGCGGCTAGCCGGCTAAGTTTCTGCCCAGGGTTGATTATAATTGTATTACTTATATAAAACAAACCATTAACTGAAAGAAAGACACATTTCATGTATCCCCTTACTTACATTTTAGGGTTTTAGTGGTTAAAATACGACGAAATAATTTAAAACGAACCAAACATGACAACAGCTTCCCACATTTCATGAATAACAACAGAGTCCGTTTCTGATGATGTCATCTCCAGTTGCCGTAGAGACGAGCCCTCGAGGTTCTTTTTTATTTAAATGAATTGAACAAATTGTACATCTCACCAACTATGACAATTAGAAACCCTGTGCCTAACAAATAATTGGGGCATATATTCGTATGCAGACGATCAGTAAAGAAGTAGAAAACATTATAGTAACTTTGTTATTATGGATTTATATAGAAAAGATGGCCAATCATTGCGTATCGGTCCCATATGGTCTAGCGGTTAGGATTCCTGGTTTTCACCCAGGCGGCCCGGGTTCGACTCCCGGTATGGGAACTACCTTTTTGACAAATAATATGTTCCTATAGTCGTTGTTGAATCACAAACCCTTCTAATATTAAAAAATCATCAGAACTGGTCAGTAATCTAAACGCATTGTTAGATATTAGGTGAAAACTTGTTGGATAAGTGCAATGAAGCTAATGTTTGTTGCACTGGTTGCGTCATTTCTGAGCGCCAGGACGAAGTGTACGTTGCTAACCTGCGACAGCACCCGCCTTTGGTTTACCCTGAGCAGCATTGCCGGTGTTGATAATCGGTTTCCTCTCTAGTCCGTTGGCAAAGCTCCCGGGCGGCACATGAACAGTACCATGGCTGCGTCCTCACACCGGGTAACGATGGGTCCGCTGGTGGCTGCCATTGACCAGGGCACGAGCTCCACTCGGTTTTTGGTAAGACGAACCAGCTAGCTGTGTTGCATTCAATGTCTGGCTCATTAAGGTGTCAACGGTGTCCTTGGGTGTGTCTTCCACCGTGTACTCTTGCAACCACAGGGACGGTTGTTGTCAGTGTTTGGTGTTGTTTCACTACTGCTGGATAAAGAGCTGCTAATTAACTAATAATGCTGCATTCAAGTGCTCCCTTTAGAGAGGTGGAATGAAGGCTAACAACATTTCACTCAAGTGCTGTAACTGTTTTGATATTTGTCCTTAACGTAAGTCTTTACATGTAGAGAGAAACATTATACTTCTACTATGTTACATTTATCTGACAGCTTCAAGCACTAGTAACTATACAAATTAAGCTTTTTTACACAGAAAAAAAAACACAAAATGTGATTTAGGTGGAGATTCTTTGAATTTGTCTTACCAATTGAAAAATAGACATATTATTATTTAATATTTTAACACACATAGCATATGCACACTATAGCATATATTTCCTTCTTGTTGTCCTACTGTAATAACTTCAATCCTAATGTTTTAACACCAAATGGTCCATGCTGTGATTACTATACTGTGAAAATATGACACTGCCTAGGCATAGTTGCAATTGTGCTGTTGTGTGCAAAAAGCCTGCATAGTAAAAACAATTCTGCTAAAAGTAGGTATTTCATTGTGTTGTTTTGATATAATTGTACCATGCATACATATTAAAGAGCTATGTTCCTTCTTCAAAGGTGTTTAATGCGAAAACAGCAGAGCTCCTCAGCCATCATCAGGTGGAAATCAAACAGAGCTTCCCCAAAGAAGGGTTTGTGAAACGATACAAAACAATTCCTAAAATATGCATACACATTTAGGGAATGTAATCTTATTCATTGTGATACACTGCCATCTGTTTTAGATGGGTGGAGGAAGACCCCAAAGAAATTCTGCAGTCGGTTTACGAGTGCATGGAGCGGACGTGTGAAAAACTCACCCAGCTAAACATAGACATCTCAAACATTAAAGGTACACAAGCTCACATGTTACCGATGAGGCTCTTTTCATTTATATCATAGTAAGGCGTTCATAATCTAAAAATGTGGAAATTATTTGAATCTGTGCAGCTATTGGAGTGACCAACCAAAGAGAGACCACGCTTGTTTGGGACAAAGAGACAGGGGAGCCCCTCTACAATGCAATAGGTACAGTTGAATGTTATTTGATTTATTATTTCCATTTATATAAGCACTAATCTGAGCCTTTTAAAGAGTACGCAGACACAATCGTATCGTTTTTTTACAGATTTTTGGCTATGAAATAATGTTGTTTTTCGTTCAGTTTGGTTGGACCTGCGGACTCAATCAACAGTTGAACGTCTAATCAACAAAACTCCAGGAAGGAATAAGAACCACTTAAAGGTAAGCACTTAATATTTTAGTTTTCCATTGACGGGACACCAGGTACAGTTGGTTTTAGAGAGCACAGATGGACAATGGGCCTCTTTCACTAATTTCTCTTTTCTAAAGCCCCTCTCCCAGTGGACAATAACCCGCTAACATCTGGCTTTTGTCATCAGTAAAATGTTCCCATCTACATTCTTCCACGGGACAAATGACTCTGCAGTGGTCACGGTATTTACCGGCTCCAGCCCTGCAGTGATGGAAACGTGACACGCGCTCATTTTCACCCCCTTTTTCCCATTGAGAATGAAATAAAAAATGCCTGAAGGAAAATCTTAAGAGGACGATGCACTGAATCTCAACATAACAAAGCTTGAGGATTTTTTCATTCCTACACATTTGATGTTAATTGAAGCACCATTGTTGCAATTTAAAGACACATACAGTCTGATCCCACTCTTGGTAGCAGCATTAAAACAGTTCTTTGTGTCTCTGTCCCCCTGCAGCATAAAACAGGGCTCCCAATCAGCACCTACTTCAGCGCGGTGAAACTTCGCTGGCTGATGGACAACGTGGACGAGGTCCATGATGCCGTGGTGTCACATCGCGCTATGTTCGGCACCGTGGACTCCTGGCTCATCTGGGTCAGTAACGGTGTGGATGTCATTAAAATGTACATATGGGATGGCGGTGAAAAACTGACCATTGGAGTGTGTTTCCGATGGATTTCCAACAGTGTTTGACTGGTGGGAAGTCTGGCGGCGTCCACTGCACAGATGTAACCAACGCTAGCAGAACCATGCTGTTTAACATCCACACTCTGGACTGGGACCCTGAACTCTGCACGTATGGCACCTACTTTCCATGGCCTTAAATCCCACTGTACTGCCTTTTCAATTTTAAGAATATCACTGAAAATTGTAAGAGAAGCAGAATTGTCTTTGTTATTCATTGGCCTTTCCTCTGATTTCCGTCAGATATTTTGGTATTCCCATGGAGATCTTGCCAAAAGTGAGGAGTTCTTCAGAAATCTATGGCCTCATGGTAAGGACACATAAATAGAAATTCAAGTCTACTTACATTTTACCCTATAATGGGTGTTTTAATGAACCATGTCTCATGTAACATTCCACAGATTTAAGCTGATGTCATGCATAAAGGTTGTCTGGAAAAGTATTTGTAGGCATTTTTTGTGAGCCATTGTCTCTCTTCTCTCACTGGTAGAAATTATGTTCTAGCCGGGTAAGTAATACTCGCCATTTTAACCCGTCCCGCTTCTCCGTGGCCAAAGCACACACACCATCACACAGTGCATTTCCAAGATTCATACAAAGGCTGATGATTCAGTAGCTACAAAGTTAACTTAGTTTGCCTTATTGCTGATTGTAAATGTTTAAACTGGTCAGATTTGAGTCACATTGGGGTCACTAACTATTAACTAACCAGGTACATTTGCTACTGCTTATTTTGCCAATGATCTATTTTAATGCTTATTGTTTTGGTATTCCTGCCTGCATTTCTGCTGCTTTTAGCTCTTTTATATCTCCAGATGCACCAGCCAAGGCTCTCAATATCAAATGTACGTGAGGGAATATAATGGATCCTATGTCTAAAAAGACAAATATCCTTAAGGAATGAAAGTGAATATTTGAGAAACTCCCTCTGGAGGGAACACAGGGATTTTAGTCTTTGCAGACCATTTACATGCACGCAAACCTATACAACACACTACAGGAACGGGTAAACCACAAGCATAATATTTAACCAAATAGACAGCAGAGACACGAGTGTACAAAAAACAAGATTGACCAAGTTTTATCTTGAATTTGAACCCAGTTTAACCACACACACATATTATGGTATGCATGTTCGCTGCATTGGAAATGTACTGGATGCCCCCCCCCCCCCCCCCCCCCCCCCCCCCTCCTATCATTGCTTCTTGTGGCATGCCATTGGCCGGCCATCTTCCTCTGCAAAGTCTCCAAATCTCTTCACTCTTGGGCACACGCTGATTCCACCGAATCAATTTCTGTCTTCATGAAAACATGAGTAGGAGTGAAGACATGTCAATGTAAATTACTATTACTATTCACCCTCACTGTGACAGTATACTTTCTGTAAAAAAACAAAGTGGTAGTGTGTGTTTGTTATTTGGCTTCCTGTAGTCAAATAATGAGGAATCCTCCCTCTGTTTTCAGTTTTGTATCATGTAGCTCATAGTGATTTGTTTCTGTTAAATTAGTTCGATTCATTTCATAATAAACAGTAAATATATGTCAACACATTTTGGAATGCTCTTTTAATGTGTCGTACACAGTTCCCTTATTAAACATGTTTGTTTTTTTGGCAGAAATCTGGAGCTCTCTCAGGGATCCCCATCTCTGGGGTAGGTTCATCTCTGTTTTCCTTTCCAATATTGTCTCCATGTAGTTGTAATGCTTAAAAGGTATTTGAGCAATTTGCAATGTTTCCACCTGCTGGGTTTATGTGTGATTTTAAAAACAGTGTTTAGGGGATCAGTCAGCAGCGCTTGTTGGACAGATGTGTTTCCAGGACGGGCAGGCGAAAAACACGTGAGTCATTTCTGCATTAACATGTCTAAAAACGACTAGACTCATGTTATAGATAAGCTTTTTTTCTCTTAAATTGCGTTATAAATCCTGCTGAAAGTTTGCTTCCTGATGTGTTTCAGGTATGGAACTGGCTGCTTTCTCCTGCGAAACACTGGAGCTAAGGTACAATACGTCAGATTTACATTTGAACAGTTCACATCCCTTCAAATATCACAGACACACACTGGCATTTCCCTTTTGTGTTTTTTTTGTAGCCTGTAATGTCCGAACACGGCCTTCTGACCACTGTGGCGTACAAACTTGGCCGCGACCAACCTGCATGTTACGCACTGGAGGTACAGAATCTTAAATACACACATTTTCACCACATTATTAAATCATACTTTTTACTTTTTATACTAAGTGTTATTCTGGTGCTTTTTCCAAGGGCTCTGTAGCCATTGCAGGCGCTGTGGTTCGTTGGCTGCAGGACAATCTGGGAATCATCAAATCCTCTGAAGAGCTCGGTATGTGCTGAAATTTGACAAGCAATAATGAAATCTTATTGTTTTAAAGGGGTATCTTGATCTTTGATTGCTTGAATCTTTATATTTAAGAATCAAAGTTGGTGATATCTTACCTGTGTATGTATTGCAATGTATTCCTGTTTGTGTTTTCCCCGCTGCAGAGCAGTTTGCAGCGTCAGTCGGCACTTCCTACGGCTGTTACTTTGTTCCTGCTTTTTCGGGCCTCTATGCACCGTACTGGGAGCCCAGTGCAAGAGGGTAAGAAGAAGACACAAATTCAGATCAGTGTCTAAAATCCTTCACCGTCCTTACTCTCTGTTCACTTCGATACTCTCTGACAGGATCATCTGCGGGTTGACTCAGTTCACTAATAAGTATCACGTGGCGTTTGCTGCACTGGAAGCTGTGTGTTTCCAGACACGGGAGGTAAGCACATGAATGCATATTGTATTTCCACACTTTTTCACACTGATGTTTGTGGGAAAGGTGCTCAATTTCCCAAAACTATTTCAACAAACTCATCTAATAGATACTCAATGTAGCAATCCGTTTGGTAGATTTGTATATATTTTTTAATTTAGATGTAGGTATTTGTGTGATAACTGTTTTTCTGTTTTCTTTGAAGATCCTGGACGCTATGAACCAGGACAGCGGTATTCCCCTCACCCAGCTCCAGGTGGACGGAGGGATGACGTCCAACAAGCTGCTGATGCAGCTGCAGGCCGACATCCTCTGCATCCCTGTCGGTAAGATCCTTTTATCATCATATTTTTCAAAAGGGTGATGCTAAACGGGAAACTGTTGCGTGGGTGCGGAAAACTCAGAAACTCTGGCAGTAGGTCGGTGGACTTGCATACATACGACAAAAGGTTTTGGCGCACAAAGTACATTTTTATCAACATAAAAGTCCTTTTCTAGCCTGCATCAAACTGTGATGGTGCTACACTGAGCATGAATACCATCTGCTGGCATAAAGTGGAATAGATGACACACTAGAAAATGAATAGAAATTGCAGCTTTTGGAAATGTACGTATTTTGGTCAACATGCGATATATTTGTTGTGTTTGTCCCATGAATATGTCCATAAAGATGCATCAACTACTGCTAGTAGCTGTTAAGATTACAGTTTCCGAAGCAAAATAACAAGCATTGCCACATGACCGTTCTTCATGTTGTTGTTTTTACCCGTAAACATGCTGTTGATTGTGCTTTGCAGTGAAGCCGTCCATGCCCGAGACCACCGCTCTGGGCGCAGCGATGGCAGCGGGGTCAGCCGAGGGGGTGAGCGTGTGGAGTCTGAAGCCAGAGGACCTGAGTGAAGTCACCTCGGAGAAGTTCGAGCCTCAGATCAACCCTGAAGGTACTGACTTCTGTCACACTGAGAGAAGCACACGTCTCCAGGAGCTGAAATGTAAAAGCTTGTCTTTATATCTGCAGAGAGCGAGTTCCGCTACGCTCGATGGAAGATGGCGGTTCAGAAATCCATGAACTGGGAGACCACGGAGCCGGTCGGCAACGGAAACGGTGAGCAGGAACCACACTATGAGCTAGGGCTGGGTGATATATAAATATTGTATCGATATCATTATATGAGACTAGAAATTGGCTTAGATTTTTGATATGGCCAATATAAATGTCAGTATACGAACAAACATGATTATTATTCATTAAAATGTTATGTCGCAAATATTTTGTTAAAGCACTGATGGTCAATCCTACAATATCGCATTTAGATATCATGGTATGTTGTAGAAAGTAATGTGATATATGAACTGTCTCCAAATTGCCCAACCCAAAAAGGGACCAAATTCTTGTGCTCTTGTTTTCCTTGCCTCTGTGTGATCTTTTTCTGTTGACCAAAAGGTGAAACTGGCATCTTCAGCAGCGTCCCCCTGGGCTTCTACATCATCGGCAGCATTCTGATGTTAGTCGGTGCCAAATACCTCGCAGGTCAGTGTGTGTGCATGAAGCATTCTCTGTGTTCTCTGTGCACAGGTGTTACATGTGGTTAATACAGTTGAAAATGAGTAAAAGATCTTAATTAAAATCTTCTTTATGCTTTTTTTCATCAGGCAACAACTAAGCTCCTGGGGGCATTTAAGCAAAGAGGAACCATCTGGACCACCACCTGTACTCTCGGGTGCTTTCTTTTCCCAAAAAGGCATTACAGGAAGATGGCTACAGTTTGGAATAACTAACTGAACTTTTCTTTATTATTTCCCCCCCAATAATTTTTTCTGGAAATGTGTTTTTATCTACAGCACACATGGGTGCATTGGAGATTAATTTAAGCGGGAGTGTGCATGCAGTATTCTCTTTTTTTCACTCTGTTGACATGGTATGAATTTCTGTAATTATTTATGTAGAAACTCCACCGTAAGGTACTTCAGGTTGTCGTCAAAGAGAAACTCACTGTGTCATACGCTATTTCTTTGTTGTGGCAGAGCACTTTATTTTTTTTGTTTGTTAGGTGTGAACTAACAGAGTCTAAGTTATTATTTTTCTATCAGTTGGGATTAAGACACAGAAAGTTTGTATTGAAATGAAAACAAAGGTGAGGGGGTGAAATGACAAGGTTGCTCTTTGGGAAAAAGTGACTTTTCTGTAGATACTGTAATCATTTTAAACAGGAAAAATGTATTGTGTAATGGGCAAACATGCCATGGAGGGCAAAAGCTAATTCTTTTTTTAATATGTGTTGGAAAAGAATATATGAAGACATGGAAACAAAGAGTGTATATTTCTGTCAATTGCTTCCAAAACCACCTAGGATCGTCCATTCAGCGAAACAAAGTCAGTGTTTCATTTTGTCGACTAAAAAGATTGAAAATGGACTTAAATGTTCCCCAAAAACTTTAAACTGACTTCCACTGCAGGCAAAATATTCAAATGCAAAAATGTAATATGCATCCGTAAAGATAACTGCCTTCCAAGAAGTGAATTGCACTAAGATTAGTGCCACATGTGCAATTCTGTTTGGATTGCATTTTCGCCTAAATAATGTATTTCAATTTAAAGGGAGATTTTTTTAATCATAGACACTTAAATTCTAGGCCTCTTAGTCATAGTTTGAAGAGTTAATCTTAAAGCGGAAGCATCTATTCATCTGTTGCCCAGCCTTCATCATGTTTGTCTTCTCTTGGGATCTGAGTTGTACTTGATAGTACTTGCTCCATACTTCATGTAGTTATTTGCATAACTGAAAAGTGTTAAAATACTGCACACAAAGTGCTCTTTTGGATATAAACACAATTGAAATCACTTCAAATTAGAGAGACAGACCTAAAATGCTAGAATGTATGAAAGCAAAGTGTGCTACCAAGAACTTTTAACTGTGAAGCTGTTGATTGTGATGAATTGTTATTATGGAACAATGAAAATGTGTGTGCACAGTTGGCCAGTGTCATTCCCTTCAACTCATTCACAGAACTGTAAAGGAAATAAATAAAGTACTGCTGGGTTAGAAGAAATGAAACGATGTGTGGTTCTGTAAAGAAACAGGTTTTATGCGAGAGTAATAATATGAATATTGTGCAAACTGAATTAAAAACTAAAGATATAACACTTTCTATGACACCCATGTCTATAATGCATTATGCTCTGCTTGCAGCGGTACATCATTATAGTAATAAGTGCTGATAAATATTCATAATGATTTGTAACTAATGAAACATTTTATAAGGTCTCATTTCATAATATATTTTAGATTCTGTTCAAATGAAATACAATGTGCTTTCTTTATAGTTATCACCTTTTAATGCATTTATTATAAAACATTGTAATATATAACAACTATATAAAAATGAACAAAGGTGAGTGAGTAGCCAGCTATTGGGAAATATTATAGCATAAACAAAGTCATAAAACGTGTGTGTGACAGAACTTGGGAAGGCTTCCAATTTCTGCTAATCCGTTCTCACTTTATTAACAGAAGTTTTCTGTCTGTGCCAACACAACAAGCTGGTGTTTTTGTTGGACTGCAGCCAAGCCTAACCTGCTTTTCTTGAGGGTTATATGGGCAACACACCGGAGCTGATAAAAGGGGAGTGGTTAGTGCCAACAACACACGCATAAGTCAACTGGTGCTCTTTCACTAGTGTAGTCTTCCACCTCTACAACACGGAGGCTTCAGCCTGCGGGTCCTCACTCTGTAGAACTTGAGAAGTAAGTGTTACCACTCATTTACTCTATGTTTGCTTTTAAATGTCACTTGTCATTACAAAAGCATTGTTTGTGTGCTTTATGGAAAACTAGCAGAGAAATGTTGATTACAAATATAAAACTAATGCTTTCTATCTGATCTGCAGTTGAGTTACTCATTGACTTATAAAGGCTGTATTGTACCGTGGTTTTGCAACACATTGAGATAATTTGCATATTAACTGAAGCCCGGTTTTTCCGCTGAATAAATGGACTTTAAACTCACTTGAGGTTTTTATATTGTGATTAATATGCACATACTTTTTGTAGAGCAGAATTTAATTTATATTCTTTAAAAAAAAAAGCACATCATCAGCTTACAATTAAATGGGAAAAACATACTTTTTGTCAAATGATACAACTGAATTTACCCTATAGGATTAGCTCCATGGTTTATTTTTTAAATGTTTAGGACATTTATTTTGAAATTAAGTTAACTCACCTTTGGAACCTGTGAAACCAGGAAGTAGATCCAGGTGTTTCGCAGCGGTTGTTCCTCAATACTGATCTGTGTCAGTCTTTATTTTATTTTATTATCACACCCTGTGTTTGACACTTCTGCTGTGCTGACAGACACACTTTGCTTTCCAGGTTTATTGGACAAGGGAAAAGTCCAGTAAAAAAACTCCTTACACATGTTGGATCCGAGAAGGAGCGAGTTTCTACCAATGGGGGCCAACTTCAACCAGAATCCAGGTCAGATTAAATTATAAAATCCATGAAAGAATGAAAACCACACACATACTTATTTTATCTGCTTGTTCCTGAACATTTGATGTGTTTTGTTCAGTACACAGGGGAATGAGGAAGTCTTTGTGTTGTGTTTGTCCCACTCGACATTAGAGAACACTTCACACTTGACTTTAACCTTCTGGCGAAAGACGTTTTTTTTAGACCCAAAAGTAAACACGTGAAGTGATAAACCACATTTTGACTACACACTTTCTACATTTGATTAACTCTGTATTTGAACAGGATACGTTTAAGTTACATGTATTGTACTTTAATATGTTAATCTTTTGCTACTTATCACTTATATTCCACATTCAGATACATTTCATATATAACAGACTTACGTTTTTCCCTGTTTGTATGCTCTATAAAGGTCCCTGAATACATTTGATTGGTTTATCGATTTTATAGGTCTGGTCATTTAGAGTTTTCTCTTCTGTGTTTGTGTATCATCTGCAAAAACTAGATGATAAAATATTATTATATATTACCTGACTTTTTTAAACCTGTTTTTAAATTTCATTTCATTTCATTTTTATTTGTCCCGCTCATGGTACGCAAAACCAAATGTACAATAATTGCCAACAAAACATGTCTCTACAAACACACCATTGAGCGAAAAGGAGCAGGGAGAAGACAATTTACATCAGACTTAGAAAGGGATTACCTAATATTTATTTTTTCTCTTTTGCCTTTCAGGGCTTCCCTATACTTACTTACACTAACAGGGACAATTTCATTTGCTGGAATTGTAATAAACAATGTCTTCAGTACTTTGACTTGAGCAAACTAGTCTGACTTCTCACCCATGTTTGTTTGCCCAATACGTTGAATGCATGTATGCTATTGAGGATTGTTAAACAGGTCTTTTCTTTCTCTCAGGCTTCCTTATCGCTGATCCCAGGCCACGAGAATACGCCCACGCCATGCACAAGAAGACTGTGAAGGAATTGCTCATGATGAGGCGCTTTGTAAGTCACAGCAACATGACAAGACATGTTTAAGATGACTCTAAAGCAAGTGTTAATGTAGGGTTTTTTTTTTTCCCAGGATATGTTGCAATCAACTTAATTAATTGCGTTTTATCAAATGTTACATGTTATTTCTTCTAGTTTTGATTATGAGGAAGTTCCTTCAGTATGAGGAAGAAGATAAGCATTCCTCCACAAGTGAAAGTTGTTAGTATACAAATACAGGCAGTGGCAAATGTGTCTTCAGTATGAGGAAGAGGATAAGCATTCCTCCACAAGTGAAAGTTGTTAGTATGCAAATACAGGCAGTGGCAAATGTGTCTTCAAAATCCCCTAAAATACATTCATACGCTTCTCTTTAAGAAACAGAACGGCCTGCAGGACGACAACAACTTCATGCATGAATTAAAAACTGTAAAGTCTGAAGCAATTGACGTCGACGTGAGTCCTCAGCTGTTTGGCCCTCCAGGATACCCCCATATAAGTAATGGTTTTCCTGAAAATGGCCACAATTCCCCTCAACAACTGCAACATCCCACTCCTGCTGATGGAGGGAAGCTCACTTTATTTCACTGGCAGATCCAGCAGCAGGCGCAGAGGCTCGGGGGGGTTTCTCCTGAGCTGCTCAGCATGCAGGACGCCGATGGAGACACGTAAGTATTGATGAAATAGCTCAAATGTGTGCATATTCAAAAACATATCCTACATGGCTTCGTTCTCTAAAGAATATTTTTATTTTGGTTAGTCATATCGTAAAGTACTATTAAAAGAACAAAGTTTGGATTTTTAGGAGAATTAAAAATATGAAGAAATGATTGACTTGAACATTTTTTTTATATTGGATTAATAAAGTCATGAATTAATGCAAATAAAGTCCTGATTTATTGAGAGTATAGTCAGAAAAAAAAGGTATTTTGTTGACCTTTGGCATTCAAGACACTCTATTCTATCCCAATAAATATTATAATTCTGCCTTGACACAAATCCTAAACAAATTAACCTTAACATTATGGACGTAACATGCATGTGAATTTATTTTTGATTGCTCTTTTTCTTTCCCAACGGCCAGAGTCCTTCACATAGCAGTAGCACAAGGGAGGCGAGCTTTGGCTTATGTGATCGCTGCCAAAATGTCTCAATGTGGCTCTCTGGACATCAAAGAACACAATGGGCAGGTACAAACACTGAAGTAGCTTATCTGTGTTCATCACACATCAAATGCAGATGAGTAAAGCGATGATCTTTGTTAACAGACGGCTCTTCAGATAGCAGCTGCCAGCAACCAGCAGCTCATAGTCCAGGACCTGCTGGTGCACGGAGCTCAGATCAACACCAGGGACCTGTGGGGCCGCTCCCCTCTGCATCTGTGTGCAGAGAAAGGACATTTTCTCAGCCTGCAGGTATGAAATAACTGAAAATGCATAACACTGTTGCAGCAGTGTCATCTCGATGCAATTAATAATAACAGTTTTCATTTCAAATTCATAACGTTGTATCCCTTGTGCACCCATTAAAATGCTTAAAGCTACTTTTTCTGACCTATTTTCAACACATGTATTTCCACAGAGCATCTGCAGGACCCTAAAGGTGACTGGTCAGCAGGTGGATATTGAAATGTTCAACTATGATGGTGAGTATGTTTTATTGAAGTTTAAAGCTGGTTTGTAGGAAGTGTCCTTGTGATTTAACCCTGCTGTTCTCTGTTTTCAGGTTTAACTCCATTGCATGCAGCTGTCTTGTCTCACAACGCTGTGGTTAAAGAGCTGAGGACTCTGGGAAATCTGTGCTCATATATGGCAAAGGAGCTGGCGCAGAGGGCACACATGTACGTCGAGTGTATCAAGACTCTCCTGCTTACGGGAGCCTCCAGTGGGACGAAGGTAACTATTCAAATCATTTGACTTTGGTACATGTCACACTTGTCGCATCACTTTGAAGCTTGCATTGTTTTGTGCAGGATCAAAAAAGTGGAAGGACGTGTCTTCACATGGCTGCCGAGGAGGCAAACGTGGAGCTGTTAAAAATGTTCCTGGACCAGCCGCAGTCAGCTGTAAATGCTAAGGTTAGTCATTGTATTTGCAATCAGGGAAACTCACTCACACACACACACACTGCACGTTATTTCATGTACGGTTATGTACGTTTCAGACATTCAGCGGCAACACGGCCCTGCACATTGTCAGCTCTTTGCAAAATCATAAACGTCAAGTGGAAGCTGTGAAGCTGCTGATGAGGAAAGGTGCGGACCCCGGGGCCAGGAACTTTGAAAATGAACTGCCGTGTCAGCTGGTGCCCAGAGGACCCACTGGGGAAAAGGTAATTCTGATCCCTTCAAACAAAGGCAATAATAGGTTGTTTGTTTATTAAGTATAAGTGTGTAGAAGTGTAAGTTGTCGAAACATCTAATTATTAATTGCTGATCTGATTTCTTTAATTTTCTTCAGGTGCAGCAGTTGCTGAAAGGAAATATTGACATGCTTAAGTGAAGCTCAGAAACACTGTCAGTCAGACAGTCCAATCTATTATATTATTTGCCAAAAAAGGCAGATGCTGGTTGTTTCAGTGAAACATGCTTATTGTTCATTACCATGTAATGCTCAAGGAGAAAGTGAGGGTATGAATTTATTTTCTTTTGTTTATTAACATTAAGGATTGGGAATATGCTCTGTAAATCAATATTTGTTTTGGATGATTTATGATTATTAGAAGTTTTTATAGTTGTGGGTGTTTTCTTTCTTTTAATAAAACAGTTTTTTTAAGAGATTTTAGTTCTTTGGTTAAGTGAAAGAGTTTTTTTTTATTATTATATTTTGAAATCAATTAGTTAACAGGTTTGGTATTTTAAAATGTTCCATTTTGGTGTTTTTATTTTAAAATTCTTCATGCATTTCCTCAAATGTTTAATATTGCAGTTGAACAGTTTGTGTATTCATACTCTGTGTTAACAGGCCCTAAAAACCTGCTTTTGGAAATAAAATGACCGTGCAATAAAGTTTAAGAGGTGATTGTTTGTATTACATTATTTTTCACTCTTCGGCGTACTAAGATAAGCCGACTAAGAACATTTTAATGCATACTTGATCGTTGTAAGCTTTAGGGTTATGAGTTCAATTCTTATTAAGGTAATGTGACTTTTTTGGCTCAACTCCTAAACTAATGACTTATTTCACGAGTTGCTCTTATTGCATACTGTATTTTTATGTAACTCTGCCTGTCAGATGGATTAGCTCAGTGTGATAAAGAAGCTCTCAGAAAGCTTGAGGTTGTGAGTGCAACTCCCACAGTGTGCAATATGTTTATCAATTTATCGTTAGATCCAACACCAAGAGAAGAAATCAAAAGCTCTAACAAAATTAAGGAACCACATCTGATCATACAGCTCAGTGTGATAGATGTTAGGTTAGAAGATCTGAGGTTGTGTGTTTGATTCTTATTAGGTGCAGTAACTTTATAAGTCCAATTTCCCACAGAGGAAGTACAAAAGAATGGTGTGAAAAAAGCCTAGAGAAGAGTTTTTCATTTAAAAATGTTGGTGGCACAATTGTGTGACATACTTATAAGGACAGTTTTTTTCAGATGGACTGCACTATGACTTATTTTATTTCCTTTTTTACATTTTTATTTGTCACATAATCTACCAAACAGGTAACTGTCTCAATCTAATAGCTCAGGGTGATACGACGCTGCTCAGGTGAGCTGAAGTTTTGGGTTTGATCCCCATGAGGTGCATAGATTTTTGGAAGTTTAACACCCAAAGTGCAGAATTAGATTACCAAACAAAAGTTTATTGGCCCAGGTCAAATGGCTCACTGGGAAGTAACACTGCCTTGAAGACTGGAGGTTGTGGGTTCAATCTTCTTTATTTGCACTGGTTTTCAGGTAAAACGTCCAAAATGGTGTGAAAAAAGCAGAGAAGAGTTTTTCATTTTAAAATGTTGGTGGCACAATTGTATGACATACTTACAAGGATAGTTTTATTGGATGCACTGCACAATAGCTTGTTCTATTTCCTTTTTTACATTTTCATTGTGACATAATCTACCAAACAACCTAAGACTTTCACAAATGAAATAGCTCAGTGGGATACAACGCTGCTCAGGTGAGCAGGAGTCTTGGGTTCAATCCTCATGAGGTACATTCATTTTCTAAGTCTAACCATCCAAAGTAGAGAATGAATTTACCAAATGAGATGTAACAGTCACTGGTCAAGTGGCTCAGAGGGATAGAGCACAGACTGTGAGACTGAAGGTTGTGGATTTGAAGATTTTCAGGTGCAGTAATCTTTAAGGTCCAAAATCCCAAATGAACAGGGATAAAGTCTAAACTCTACAAAACCTCAGGACAGGTGGCGCAGAGGGCTAGAAGACAGGTTAGAAAGTCTGAGGTTGTGTGTTCGAGTCCTCGTGAGCTATAGTGATTTTTAAATTGCTTTACTCAAAATGAAGAAGATAAATGCGCCCGGAGCACAGGTCTTCATGTACATGTGTTGGTGGCCTGATTGGGTCTGTTCTTGGCATTAAGGCGCCCGTGCCAAGTTCAGGTCAGCTGCTTAGCATGTACGGGTTGTTCAGAATGTGCACAACCGATTTGCCTCAAACTCGGTGGGCACCTTCAGGGGGGTGGGGGTAACGCACACACCAAGTGGGGTGTATATTCCCAGCTGTTGGAACGACTTGCGACCATTTCTAGCAAATCGGTTGTGCACATTCTGAACAACCTGTTTTCCTTGAATAACTTTTGACAGGAAGCTCCGATCGCTTCGGGACCGGTTTTACGGTCTGGTCAAAGTATGGTTTCTGCACAACTTTTCTTTTTTTTGTTGTGCAGAAAGCATACTTTGAAAAATCTCACAAACGTCAAAATCACAAAACAACCTCCGAATGACACGTTTTTGGCACTGGCGGATGCGGAATTGCGAAACATTGGGGGGTGTCTTCACATAGGGGGGGGGGGCGTAAAACCAGTCCCGAAGCCATCGGAGCTTCCTGTCAAGAGTTATTCAAGGAAAACCGATTTGCCTCAAACTCGGTGGGCACCTTCAGGGAGGCCTGAAGGCAAATCGGTTTTCCTTGAATAACTCTTGACAGGAAGCTCCGATCGCTTCGGGTCTGGTTTTACGCCCCCCCCCCCCCCCACAACGAGAAGGTTCCCCCCAATGTTTCGCAATTCCGCATCCGCCAGTGCCAAAAACGTGAATAAATGAAGAAGATAAATGCGCCCGGAGCACAGGTCTTCATGTACATGTGTTGGTGGCCGGATTGGGTCTGTTCTCGGCATTAAGGCGCTGGTGTCGAGTTCAGGTCTGTCGCTTAGCGTGTTCGATACTCGGAGTAGCTGAGTTAGGCAGAGTAGCTGCAGCAGGTAGTGCACAGTAGATGAGGCAGGTAGTTCATAGCAAGTGAGGCAGGTAGTGCAGAGCAAGTGAGGCAGGTAGTGCAGAGTATGACTTTTTGAGATATCCTTTGTATCACAAAGTCTATCAAACACAATACCAAAGACTCAGATCAAATGGCTCAGTGAGATGCACTATTGTTCAGAAGAACTGAGGTTTTAGGTTCGATCCCCATGAGGTGCAGAGATGTCTCTGATCTTCAACACCCACTCTTCAAGTGTAGAATTAGATTACCAAACGAAAAATAATTGGACCAGGTCAGATGGCTGACTGGGATAAAACCATGCCTTGATGTCTGGAGGTTCTTGGTTCAACCCTCTTTATTTGCACCTGTTTTTCAGGTAAAACATCCAAATTATGTGAAAAAAGCGTACAGAGTAGTTTTTCGTTTACAAATGTTTGTGACACAATTGTGTGATTCTCTGATATTTCTTTCAGATGCACTATGACTTATTTTATTTCCTTTTTTATATTATTCTTTGTGACGAAGTCTACCATTATTTAAAATGAAATAGCTCAGTGGGTTACGACACTGCTCAGGTGAGCTGAAGTTTTGGGTTTGATCCCCATGAGGTGCAGAGATTTTCTGAAGGCCAGCACCCAAAGTGTAGAATTAGATTACCAAACGAAAATAATTTTCCCAGGTCAAATGACTCAAAGGGATAAAACCATGCCTTGATGTCTGGAGGTTCTTGGTTCAATCCTCTTTATTTGCACCTGTTTTTCAGGTAAAACATCCAAATGATGTGAACAAAGTGTAGAGAAGGGTTTCTCATTTACAAATGTTGGTGGCATAATTGTGTGACACTTAACTCAGTTAAGTTTTATTGGATGCACTACACTATGACTTATTTAATTTCCCTTTTTTACATTTTCTTTGTGCCATAATCTACCAAACAACTTAAGACTGTCCCAAATGAAATAGCTTAGTGGGATGCAACGCTGCTCAGGTGAGCAGGAGTCTTGGGTTCGATCCCTGTGAGGTCCATGCATTTTCCAAGTCTAACTACCCAAAGTAGAGAATTAATTTACCAAATTAAATGTAGCAGTCACTGGTCAAGTGACTCAGGTAAACTGAGGTTCAAGGTTCGATCCCCATGAGGTGCAGGGATTTTCTGGAGTCCAAGACCCAAAGTGTGGAATTATATTACCAAACGCAACACATATGGACCAGGTCAAATGGCTGACTGGGATAAAACACTGCCTTGAAGACTGGAGGTTCTTGATTCAACCCTCTTTATTTGCACTGGTTTTTCAGGTAAAACATCCAAAATGGTGTGAAAAAAGCCAAGAGAAGAGTTTTTTATTTAAAAATGTTGGTGGCACAATTGTGTGACATACTTATAAGGACAGTTTTTTTCAGATGGACTGCACTATGACTTATTTTATTTCCTTTTTTACATTTTTATTTGTCACATAATCTACCAAACAACAGGTCACTGTCTCAATCTAATAGCTCAGGGTGATACAACGCTGCTCAGGTGAGCTGAAGTTTTGGGTTCGATCCCAATGAGGTGCATAGATTTTTGGAAGTTTAACACCCAAAGTGCAGAATTACATTACCAAACAAAAGATTATTGGCCCAGGTCAAATGGCTCACTGGGATAAAACACTGCCTTGAAGACTGGAGGTTGTGGGTTCAATCTTCTTTATTTGCACTGGTTTTCAGGTAAAACATCCTAAATGGTGTGAAAAAAGCCTAGAGAAGAGTTTTTAATTTTAAAATGTTGGTGGCACAATTGTATGACATACTTACAAGGATAGTTGTATTGGATGCACTGCACAATAGCTTGTTCTATTTCCTTTTTTACATTGTCATTGTGACATAATCTACCAAACAACCTAAGACTTTCACAAATGAAATAGCTCAGTGGGATACAACGCTGCTCAGGTGAGCAGGAGTCTTGGGTTCGATCCATGTGAGGTCCATGCATTATCCAAGTCTAACTACCCAAAGTAGAGAATTAGATTACCAAATTAAATGTAGCAGTCACTGGTCAAGTGGCTCAGAGGGATAGAACACAGACTGTGAGACTGAAGGTTGTGGGTTCAAGGCTCTTCAGGTGCAGTAATCTTTAAGTTTCAAAAACCCAAATGAACCGGTCATAAGCTCTTCGAAACGTAATCATCTCAAGACAGATAGCTCAGAGGGATAAGTGTCAGGTCAGAAGACCTGAGGTTGGACGTTCGAGTCCTCGTGAGCTACAGTGATTTTTAAAGTGCTTTACTCAAAATGAAGAAGATAAATGCGCCCGGAGCACAGGTCTTCATGTACATGTGATGGTGGCCGGATTGGGTCTGTTCTCGGCATTAAGGCGCTGGTGTCGAGTTCGGGTCTGTCGCTTAGCATGTACGGGGTTCGATACTCGGAGTAGCTGAGTTAGGCAGAGTAGCTGCAGCAGTTAGTGCACAGCAGATGAGGCAGGTAGTTCATAGTAAGTGAGGCAGGAAGCGTAGCGTCACGTAACGTAGGAGTGTCGCGTAGGAGAGGCAGGTAGCGTAGGAGTGTCGCGTAGGAGAGGCAGGTAGCGTAGGAGTGTCGCGTAGGATAAGAGTAGGAGAGGGAGGTAGCGTAGGAGAGGGAGGTAGCGTAGGAGAGCAGAACGAGTAGAT